GCTAAAACCTGCATAGGGTATTGGGTAAAAGAATGAGTACTTGATCATTCCTATGTGGCAACCGCATTGTTTATGTGCTTGACCAGATTCTTGAATCTTTCATCTCTAGTTTCTCTAGATTAGGGAAGCTATTAAAGACGACTGTTACAACTTGCTGTTCTGATTGCTGTAAGTGTTTAGAGATTATGTAAAACCAATGATTTCCTTGCATGTTATCTTCTGCATTCTCAAGATCAGGCAAATAGCTAGCTGCACTTAGTTTGAGATTCTTTAACTGAGACATCAGCCAAATCTCTGATAGCAAAGTTGGGTACTTTTTCGTTCTCTTGCTTGTCCAAGGACCATAGACTATGATTGTCTATAGATTCCAGAATACATAATGGATGAAGTTCGTTCACTGGCAGCAGTGAGTGCATGGTACCTCAACTTTATCAGCTTTATTATTCCCAATGTAATATGAGGAAGTCGTACAAGGTCGATATCTAATACTCTTAGCAATTTGAAGTTGAAAAGCCAAAACAGGAACCTTGATTACCCCAAATGCCACATCAAAACAGAGAAAAGAACAAGTGAGGCAAATGAAAGGTTCTGACTTCTAAGTGATTGGTAGAATAGCTTCCTTAATGATAACTAAGGTGGCGCATGTTGCCTGTGTTTTTCTGAGAAACTCGTGTTTGGTTTGCTATGAAATGCATAGTTTGGTTTGTTACGATAGACCAGCAGGACCTAATGTATGGTTTTATTCATTAATAGCTATTTATTTTGCTACAAACAACTTTTGTCTTTTTCTTATTTGTCCATCACGTCAGGCTTATGGATGGATATCTTTCTAGTTTTGGGCTTTCGAAAAAAAAACACAGGTTGAAAAGAGGAAAAAAAGAAGAAGATGTTTTTGTGACTTGCAATCCTGCTGGTCACAAGATTTTTGGGTCTCACTTTTAATGGTTAATTAACGGGTCCCAGTAGAACTTGTGACCAACAAAACATGACACAAAAGATCTTTTGTGACTATTATTTGCATGTCACAAATAAATTCTAGTTTTTTGGACTTTTGTTACATTCAAAAAACAAGTCATAAAAAGTACTCTTGCAAGTCACATTTGATAATGTGAACTTCATATACAATTCATAAAAAGTTTGTGACTATTAAATCCGTGACTCTCATATATAGGTCACATGTGATTACAAAAAGTTTTTGTGACTTTCTGGACATTTTTATGACTGTTGATGAGTCACAAAAACAACTTTTTCTAGTAGTATCATGTTCTGTCTATGAATTCAAATTAGAACAAAGGAGGAAACTTGATGCAGTGAAGAACAAATAGATGATATAGAATACGAAGCAGTTGGAACTAGTTTGAATATAGAAGACTACCTTCACCCCATAAGTTTTTTCCTATCAACTTCCACACACCACCATCACCCTTCTCCCACCCCTGGCAGCCACCTTCTCCCTTCTTCTTCCCCCTAAAACACACAGGGAGGGAGAGATGAGTGAGGTGGTGCCTATGGAGGGAGAGGAGAAGATGGCTGCTACGGGGACTAAGTTTGGGCAAAGGGGAAGTGAAGGGTGGCGGGGGAGAATGAGTTGTAAAAAAGAATTTTACTATCATTTAAAAAAAATCCTAAAAACACATTAAACCACTCCTAAAATAATATTACCATCATATGTTAGAAATGTATGTATTTGCAGTTTAAGTTTTAGACAAATACTCTTAAAAGCGTATCAATTATTCAAACAGATCCTTAGTATACGTTTACACACATGATTGTATTATCACATTGATTTGATATATGAAATACAACCACATACAATTGGATGGTAATTTTAACAGTAGCTAACCCAAATTCAAGAGACAAAATAGAGCATACAGATAGTACGTTGTTATAAAAGGGTGGAAAGCCACGAATTGGGGTTTGGGCCTATTGAACATTCATTATTACTACATTTGTAGCTCTGAGATTGATCAACCAATCCTGTGTTGAAACCTTGATAGTGCTGTCTTGAACAAATTGTAGCACCTACCGATGAAAATCAAATGACATTCCTACACATGGAAAAGCTTAAGGCTAAAAGTTGATCTTTGACCACAATAACTAAGTATGAATTAGTCATTTGGCATCAAAAGATGTGACTTCATTAAGAGAAAAGAACAAGCCAGTAGGTCCATCATCAGGCAACAGAGCTAGCTTTACTGGACCTTTAGCGCCTTCTTCTACACTCATCCAGCCAATATTGTAGTTTATATCTGTTTTGACAAAGCCAGGACAAACACAATTCACCTTAAAATTAGGGAATTTCTTGGCAAGGATTCTTGTATAAGCATTCATAGCCGCTTTTGATACTGCATATGGTATAGCCCAGCTTTTAGGGAACACTGTTTCAAGTCTTCTTGGAATTCATTCAACACATCATCCACCCTCTCCTCTGTGAGGTTATCAACATCGCCTAGTATTCCTTTAGCCCATTCATTTGGGATATTCCGATAGATGATGAGAAAATCAAGTGAATTGCTCTTGTAGTCTCATTTTTTTAATAAACTGAAAGAGCAAAAGAAACACGAGATGCCATATGAGCCATCATAGTAACTCTTCGGTTGAAGGAACTGAATTTAGTGTTCAATAGTTGACAATAGCTTGCAACTCCTGGAAGAGCTTTGATCATGAAAAATAACCAACTTTTTGAATCATAGTTGCTTAGCTGGTATTAGAGGGTCTAGAGCCAAAATTAGAGGTACCCTAAGGTCAGTAGAAAGCATGGTTTGACCCTGATGTTAAGCATCTTAAACAGCTTTGCTTAAAACATTAATTATGTAGCATCATATTGCATAATCGAATATCCACTTACTTAAAGAAGCAAATCAACAAGTTCTGTACCTCCAACTTCCCCGTTAATGAGGAAATGTTGACAATTCTAGGTGATTGTGACAGTTGGAGAAGAGGAAGAAGGGCTTCAACCATTCTTCTTGCACCATAGTAATTCGTCTGCAAGCATTCTACTCCCAACTCACATGGCTGGGTCATTATAACTTCCAAGTCGAATGGAGCTTGCCCCGTCTGCGATAGGTCAAAACTCAAAACCATGTCATCTGTTAATCATTACTATTCAAAGTTCACTATGTCTTCAAGCAAATCGCACTATGTCAACGCCAACTTAAGGTACAAGAAGCTTACAGCTGCAGCTCTTAGAGCATCACCATTTACAATAGCTCCAGGAATCCCCGCATTGTTGACCTGAAACCACAAAATTTCAATTGGAAAAAGGGAAAAGCGTATTTGCTCGTAAAGAACTTTGTGGGCATGCCCCTTTACAAGTCTATTAAAGCATTAGTAGTTATTCCATGGTGTCTATAAGAGTGCAAAATTGTTCAAATAATAGCTAAAGTTATACTTCTGATAAAGCACAAAATTCGTTTAACTCTGAAATCGTATAGTTAAGAAACCAAGAAAATACAACAGCTGCCAGTGAAATTTTTTCTGGATACCAGGATATCAAGCCTTCCAAACTGAATCTTGACAAATTCGGCCAGGGAAGCAACACTCGAAGAATTAGCCACATCAAGTTGATGAAAAAACAAGTTATCTGTGGTTCCAGCTGGAGTACTTTTGAACTTCTCAAGAGCATCGATTCCCTTCTTCTCATCTCTAGCGGTCAGCACCACAGTGATTCCCTAAGAAGCTAATTGCCTGCATATCTCCAATCCGATCCCTTTGTTTGCCCCTGTTACTACTGCATATCTAAATTAAAAAAAGGGGGGTCAGCAGATTAATCACCGTGGAGCAGTCAATATATGACAGACACATTTTAGTTCTCAAGAAAAGGTTTCTATGCACTGAATCATATAAGTATTAACAGTTAAAAAACCTTTTCAGCTGCCTGTTACCACTGGTTGGCTCTGCCGTTAGTGGAGAGCAAAGCTGTACTTGGAGGAATTTGGATTAGTACTAGAAGACGTATTTGAGGTTTTGACCACTTGTATACTACACTTTCTTATTCCCGTAAAAAAAAAATCTTCAACATGCATGGACAACTGGAAATATGCCCTGCCAATTTATACGAAAATGGTTGCCTAGCCCTATCGTAATTGGTCTGATAAGCAAGCTTTAGTTTAATACTATGTGTCTTCTTATATTTGTTCCATTCTACATCGACATTCACAATGTCGGATGGAAGCCGTTTTCTCAGCATATTCTTCCACAAGCTCTAAGCAGCTTCTAACAGAACGACTAACATAAGAGAGATCAACAATGCATCTAAATTAACGACCAGATTATCTCAGTCTAGCTAAATATTCAGGGTTTCAGACTTTAATGGAAGCAGTCGTATTCGAATTGGATGATAGTGTTACTTTTGCCTGATTGTCCTCTCATTTTTTTCATCTCTTAGGCCTGTCGCATTTTTTCCCTTTCATTTCTTCTTTTATTCTTGGAAGAATACTGCAGTCTTGTCTTTTGAGTTTTCAAACATTAAAATTAATACTTTGTTTTTCAGATTTAGCAGATTAATTCTCTCTTTAGTCTTTGCTCTTTTCTTAAATTTCCAGCAAGACAAATGCGTTCACTTTTTTCCTCTTTGAGTACATCTTTCATGCACAAGTCCCAACTTTTATACGAGTGCATATCCAGTTAGTGCAGAGCTAAAAAAGACGAAACCCTCAATGTGTATTGATTTGATTCTGCAGCATACTATCATCTTGTTCTTCCAGCAAATTGATACAGTACTTCAGCCTAAAGATGAGTTGTCGTAAGTCATAACAAGGGAAATCACTCAACATGCCCTAATACAAACCTGCATATCATACATGAAGCTGCGAACAGAAGGTATAAAACATCTTTTGCATAAACCAGGCAATAACTGTTTATATTTGGGTAAGGAGTGTCTCAACTTTAACAGAGCAAATCATAGTCTTCATCTTCGAAAATAACATGGAACTAGTATACTTAGAAAGTACATGTCGACAACTTAATCTTTGACCACAACTGTTTCTAAAGGATCGTTTTCATTCAAAAGATGTGACTTGGTTACGGGAAAAGAACAAGCCAGAAGGTCCATCACTGGGCAGCAGAGCTAGCTTCACAGGACTTTCAGCACCTTCTTTTACAGGCAGAGTGCCAGTATTATAATTTATATCTGTTTTGACAAAGCCAGGACACACACAATTCACCTTGAAATTTGGGAATCTCTCGACCAGAATTATTGTATATGCATTCAAGGCTGCTTTTGAGATGACATAAGCTAAAGGCCAGCCTTTGGCTTCCTGGTAACCCTCATTGAAGTCTTGCAGAAATTCCTTGACCACTTTATCAACTCTCTCTTCTGTAAGGTTATCAGCATCGCCTAATGTTCTTTTAGCCTATCCATTTTTTACACACTGAAACATGGTATGAAATGCATAGAGGAGTTAAAATACCAATAAACTAGAGCTACAACAAGATTCTATATGATAATACTGTATTACATTCTGAAAATTAAACAATTCTTACTGTTTTTTTGTAAACTCAGTTTAAAGTTCAAAGAACACTGAGTCTTTGACCGAGAAGACTCAAATATTCTGACTTATGTTTGTTCTGAAAGTTATATTCGGTCACTGTTGAAATCCATACAGGTGATAAATGCTATACTGATGATATCAGCTACTTATTTGCAAATGAAACTACTAGGAGTACCTTCATCATACCTATTGACTTACTTGTGCGAGTACTGCAGCTACTAACTGTAGACTTGGTTCCAAAGTCTCTGGAACTACCTGCAAAACTTTTTCAATTCAGAACTCAAAGGTGAAGCATGAATTCCCCAATTTTACTGAAGTGCAAGGTATGTGCAGAAAGCTGACGTCTCTGAGGGGAGAATATTCAAAGGAAAAAATCTAGATAATGTAATCCTGAAAGAATTTGTTTATGTTCCAGTACACGCAGGATTGAAACAGTGAGGGAAAATGATAACAGGTTCAAGGTAAGAGAGGGATACCGCTGTTGCACCAGCCTTTTCCAAATTGAGGCCATGATCAACATCATGAGCACGGACAAATGTCTTGATATTGGGAAACTACTTGCTTAGAGCCCAAACAGTTCTGTAATTTGCACCAGGAGTATCTAAAATAATTGCTGCTGCACATGATCTTTCAGCACCAACTTTGAGTGTTTGGCATTATTAATCCAGTCTCATACTAATCGGGATATTATATCCTAGAACTATCAAACTATATATGGTGACTACTAAGTGAAATTCATGAATAAGTCACACTATATGGTTCTGACAATGTACTTCTGGCACTACTTGTGCTTTATGTGAACTTAAGAAACAACTATGTGGTGGAATGAGAGTTTAAGTTATGTGGATGTCTTTCTTTTTCACAATCACATTGTCTTTGCTTATAATAGAATCACAATGTCTACCAAGCTATTTCAACCAATTATTTTAGTCTTCCACTGCATGAAGGGTTTTCTTTCTTTTTTTCTTCGCTCGGGTTCCTTCTGATGGCCTGGGAACAATCCCTATATTAAATACAGAATGTGATCATCGACAATACATACATATACATATATTCATATATATATGTGTGTATATATATATATATATATATATATGTGCGCGTGCAGTAGCTTAGAAGGTTATTCAATGAAATTTATGGTTAAGAGGAAGCTGTCGTCTATTAACATCTTTCTTTGAAAAAATACAGAACGAACTTGCATGAAAGCCTCAAGGGCCATTAGGTTATTCACTTTGGATATTCTTTGGAAAGGTCCATTATTGAATGTTTTCTCTAGCAAGATTTAGGTGACACTAGTTTTTGGTTACCACGCAATGCACAATGCCCAGGTTCAATGGCGGAGTCAGGAATATGTGAATTGGGGGCGACTCATGAATGCTGCATATAAATATTTTGTAAGTTTTAAAAAAGTAGGCATTTGAATTTTTGTATGTATAAGGCAAAAGCGAAGGAAAGAGAGCAATGTATAGTATTACATTAAGATTTTCAGGGCACAAGAGAATGACTTAATTGAGAAATTGTAAAATTTCATAGAGGTTAAATAAGATTTTAGAAATTTAAGGGGGGCGGGGACCCTGCTGCCTCCACCACTGCCCATATTTAAATTGTGTACAGATTTGTTTTGGTTCTTTGTGCATATGAATAAATAGAGTAATTATCCAAATATGTTAGCAAGAGAGTAAATTTGTTACATGGGACAAATTACTAATTAGATTACAGTAGCAATATGTTTGCCATGCAACAATTTTCTTGAATATCAACAAAGGTAAGGTAAAATATATCAACAAAGCCAAATTAAATATTTGATCAGTCCATCAAAAAATACAAGCAAAAACTCGACAATAGGAGACATAACTAGGGATGGCAATGGGGGCGGGTGCCCGCGCTCTCGGGGCAGGGGTGGGGGGAAATTTTTCCCCCCGCTTAGAAACGGGGCGGGGGGCGGGGGAGTATACCCCCGCCACCCGCAAAAAATATATATATAAATATATATATATATATATATAATTACATATAATATGTAAGTTAATTAGTTATAAACTTATGATAATGATATTATTAGTTAGATGTATTATATAATGTATATTAGTTTATGTAATATAATTGATATTATCAATTATATGAATAATTAAACATGTCTACTAATAGAATTTATTAATTAGTTATACTAAATTTACTAATATATATATACTAAATTTCTAATTACACTTAATAGAATAACACTTTTTTTTCAAAAAAAAAGCACAAACACAATAATGAATTAGTGATTGTATTTGTACCAAAAGTGAAAACTTGACTATTTTAGTTGTATTTATTTCATCATATTGGATTGTATTCAAATAACTTCTGTTTGATTGTTTTTATGAATTTCAATTGTAAAATTACAATGAATAATAATTTTGTGATGTGTTGATATTTTAGTATTTGATTATTTATTAAAATTTAACTATAATAAAATTTTATTAACCCTGCGGGGGAAGCGGGGCAAGGCGAGCGAAAGGCGGGGGACGGGACGGGGGTCTGGGAGAATTAATAGGCAACGGGGCGGGAGCCGGGGGAGGGGTCCCCCTCCCCAATCCCGTCCCGTTGCCATCCCTAGACATAAGCCTAACTCTTAGTCCATGTTAGAACCCAAAACCAACTCAATCAACCCAAAAAGCCCATTTACAACATAAGCTCAGCAAATAAAAGAGGGACAAAAAAAGAAAAAAATTGAAAAAGAAAAGGTCAAGGAAAAAGAAAAAGCAAAAAATGAAAAATGAAGGAAATTTTGGGGAAGGAAAAAAGCTACAAAAAATAGGTGGGCTTGACCTGGGACAACTCAGAGCTGACCCATTTCATCTCACAAAGGGATCCGGTCCATTTTGATTGGATCTTAGCCCAAGAAGCTTCGCCAGAAGCTAGAAAATTTCCGGCCGAATGACTGGAATCATCATCCGAAAATTATTCCGGCAACTTTTGAATCCAACTATTATATAAAAGGGATCCTCACACCATCAGGATTGTGTATAAGGGATCAAACAAGGTCCACAGAGATCACAAAATCACCAAATAGAGCCAAATTTCAAGAACACGAATCAAATTCAACTAGAAATTAAGTAGTCGAATTTTGTCACTGCCAAAGTCATGTGCAATATATGAATTTAAAAATGATAATAACCATATATTCTATTTATTTTTTAGCACATGTTAAAATACTTTTTAGGGAAAATGACAAACTTAATTAATAAAATATGAGATGGGTAGAATACGAGAATTATAGATGCGCATATTAATGATTTTTTTTGTCAAAAGTATGATTAAAAATTTGGCACGAAAATTCCATGTTTAACATTACGCATATATTTTTGCATGGTTGACTTCCAATTTATACCTTTAAACTAAAATGATCTTATTTTAGTCATGGAACTTCAATTTTTGACAATTTACTTTGAATGATATCTATTCCATTTCAGCACAATCACTAACAAAATCGCCAAAAAAATATATATATTCTGTCACACATTGAGCATAACTTACCTGCTATTGCATTAGCTTTGATGATTCCATCAATGATTATATTGAAGTGAGAGAGTTTTTATACTTTAGGGAGAAATGCGCCTAAAATTGGTATTTAAAGACTAAAGTGGGAGAGTGCTATTAGTTTTAAGTTCGAAATTGAAATTTACTCAATTCCTACGTGAATAGTACACATATAATTGAAAGCTACATGACTAAAAGTATGGATAAAATTACTTTGATTTTCAAAGATTATGCTACATATATATACATACACATATATATGTATATGTATGTATGTTTATAGAAATTAGGACATATCTTGCTAACATTTGTTACATAACTCAGATTATATGTCATTATCTTTCCTGACATTTTAAAATTGTTCAGAAGTTGAATTATTATTCATGGCATATAATGTATTAAAAGTTTATTATCGTATTGTTTATGGTCAATTCAAAAGTAAGAATATTTTTTAGAATAGCTTTGAAATATATGAAATATGGAAGTATGTGAATTATACGTACGGATATTTATTATACGAGTATAAATGAAAATTTACTAATTAGGATGACAAGTATATATAGAAGACATAATATATAATAGGGATGTGTGAAAAGTTATAAAGGGTGCAAATATCGTTTAAAAAAGAAATTCCGAAACTTGAGTAAGCCGGTTGATCGAGTATTAAAACCCACGAATACTAATTGGAGGGGCAATGTTTGCTTATTTAGGTAGATTCGGTCAGTGCCATACTTGTAACAAATGCAGCATAAATTCAAAAAAATTATTTTCTTGCACCAGTAGGCATCACTCACAACTTAAAATATTACCAGAGTATATATTTTCTTTCAAGAACAATTTCATTCAAAATGTCGAAAGTGTCCTTATTGAGTTTTGACCAACTTTTATTGCACCACACGGCCACAGAATTCCTCTCTTCCTCAAAATCTTGCTCTTTGAGAGTTTCAACTTTCAAGACTCCTAAATTTTTTGTCTCAACTAGGAGGGAATGCCCGTGCGTCGCGCAGGTGTTTGGCACGTGTCATTAAAGAGGATTTTTTAGGTGTTTGTAGTGAGCAAGTAAATGAAAATAAAAATAAGATAACAGCGCATATTAAATAATATTAAGGAAATATATTTTTTGATGAAAACTATTATGAAATGTTGAGTGTAAAGGCTAAAAAAAATAATGCAGTCCTAGAAGCCAAAAGGGGAAAAACCGAAAAATGTAAAGGATGAAGAATTGAAAGAGCCATAACTGATACTCAAACAATAACTTAGTAGCATTCCCACGTTATTGGCCGTTTAATTAGGATGTAAATAGTATTTTATTGCTGGTAGAGAAGCTGTTTCAAACTGCTAAACTTCAGACATAAGAAAGTAAGTGTTGATATAATTATGAGTGTTTCAGACAATTGAAATGGAATTATATTGCAATTACTGAAATTATCAGCAACGTGGCTCTATTTTAATTACATAATAACCATATTTTAGTAATTGCACAAAAACACACATTTATATGAATTGGACCAAATGCACAAATGATTGCCAAATAAACTCACATTCCACAAATACCCAGATGTGTCTATAAATACAAGCTTTAAATGTACAAATATGGGGGTTTTAATGTAAAAATAAAAATACCCTAAACACATGCTGCAATTAATTGTACCAAAAGCT